TTTGCTTGTGTTCGATTGGTAACAGTCTGCCCCTGAAAATATTTGTTGCCGTCTTTGGCAGAAATGCAGGTTGGTCTGGTGCCAGTGCACAGCTGCGGTGTCAGGACTAATTTGGAAGGTCACAAATTGCTGTCACCCACCTTCAGACCAGTGTTGATGACCTGGCATTTCCCATCACTGTGGAGAGGGACAGTGGGGCCACAACAGAAAAGTGTTTTCTTGGTTCTCTTACCTCTTCTCCTATGAATACTGACAGGTGTTCCTTTGAGCTGTGGATATGGACACCTAGAAAGTATTCTCTAGAGCACATCTCCCAATCCGTGTACCCTCTGTACAATATTTGAAGAATTTGCCAGTCTGAGAACTACAGAAGACAATTGGTGTGATAAATATGTGAATAGTAAAATAAAGAAGTGAAGGAGCTTACCGAGGTCTAAAGTTGAGACAGACATACACTCAGGTGATAAATAAACTGGAAAGAAGAGGAAGGTAAAGGATACTAATTTTAGCTTTTCTTCCTTTAGAGAGAATAGCTATTATTTAAAAGAATAGTTGAGTAAAAAGTTCTTTCAGTGTTTTCTGAGAAACATACAGAAATCTTATATCTAATTAAATTCAATTCATTCCTAAAAGTTTGCACAAAAAGATTGTTTATAGTTAATGTTTATGACTAACAAAACAACTGGAACTTGTTTGTAAAAGATGTTTGCTGGGACTTTTAACAAATGAAATTCAATGATGATTTGAAAGTTTTTCTTCTTTCTTTAAAGTTCTCTTTTCTTTGAAATGCCGTGTTTTCCTGGTTGTAGATCGCTTGTGGGCAAATAGCTGTTTGTGAAGCTATAAGTAACTGATAAAAATTCTGGCAGCCTTTTTTTAAAAATGGAAATTGATAAGCTGATTCTAAAATTTATATGGAAATATAGGGTATAAACTAGCCAAAGTAATATTGAAAAACAAAACAAATTAAAAAAAAAGGAGAACTTAAATTATCTGAATTTGAAACTTACTGTAAAGACTTAGTAGTCAAGACAGGGTGGCACCGCCAAAGGATAGGCACATAGGTTAGTGGAATAGGACAGCATCCCTCAAGTCCACACATTTATGTCAAAGTTGATCAGGGTACCAAAATAATTTAATAAGGAAAAGAAAATATCTTCAACTAATGGTGTTGGAAAAAGTGTTTATCCACATGGAGGTAAAGGGTACCAGAATATGCCTCCCAAAATATGCCACTTTGGCATAAGAAATATTTTGAACTACAAACAATTGAGAACCAGCAGATGCAAGAAAAGTTCTACCTCTCTCTAACCGTCTAAAAGTAAGGTATAAATTTTCCCATTTATAAAGGAAATTAATATTTGTAAAGATGTCTCTGTGCCAGGAAGAGAGCTACCCCAGACAACTGTCATCACCCAAGAGACTCTCATGGGTAGTACAAGACAGCCGTTGTTTCCCAGACATTTCTTCCCCTGCCCTTCTCGTAGTCTGCCCAGTCCCAGAATCCCAAAGCTTTTTTTTCTCTCTTTAGCCTATGGTGGTATACAAACCCCACTTAACTGCCCATCTCCTTGAGTTGTACTACTTTGTAAGACTGCCACAATAATGTGTGTACTTACATAGATAAGTAATCAAACTTTTTTATTTCTGTTCATCTCTCTTTTGTCGGTTTGATTCATGGGCCCCAGACATTGAATCTAGGAGGATAGAGGGAATGAGGTATTTCCTCCCCTACAGAGGATAAAAAAGAATGTGGACTCTTACCTCACACCACACACACAAATTACAATGAATCAGTACCTAGATTTAAAAAACTAAAACATTACAGCTTCTAAAGGACAACATAGAAGAATGTCTTTGTAACCTGTCTTAGGACACAGCACTACCATAAAAATGTTGATAAATCAGTGTTCATCAAAAAAAATCTCCACATGCCTCAACAACCAAAAAGCAAGTAACCCTATTAAAAAATGGGCAGAGGATATGAACAGACACTTCTCCAAAGAAGAAATTCAGATGGCCAACAGGCACATGAAAAAATGCTCCACATTGCTAATTATCAGGGAACTGCAAATTAAAACCACAATGAGATATCACCTCATACTAGTTAGGATGGCCAGTATTGAAAAAACTAAGAACAACAAATACTGGCGAGGATGCGGAGAAATCCTACATTGCTGGTGGGAATGTAAACTAGTTCAACCATTGTGGACAGCAATATGGAGGTTCCTCAAAAAACTAAAAATAGAAATACCATTTGACATGGGAATTCTACAACTAGGAATTTACCCAAAGAATACAAGTTCTTAGATTCAAAAAGACATATGCACCCCTATGTTTATTACAGCACTATTTATAATAGCTAAGATATGCAAGCAACCTAAGTGTCCATCAGTAGATGAGTGGATCAAGAAGATGTGCTACATATACAGAATGGAATACTATTCAGCCATAAGAAAGAAACAAATCCTACCATTTGCAACAACATGAATGGACCCAGAGGATATTATGCTCAGTGAAATAAGCCAGGCAGAGAAAGACAAGTACCAAACGATTTCCCTATTTTGTGGAGCATAACAACAAAGCAAAACTGAAGGAACAAAACAGCAGACTCACAAACTCCAAGAAGGGACTAGCAGTTACCAAAGGTGAGGGTGGGGGAGGGCGGTGGGGAGGGAGGGAGAAGGGGATTGAGGGGTATTATGATTGACATACATGGTGTGGGGGGGATCACGGGGAAGACTGTAGCACAGAGAAGACAAATAGTGACTTTGTGGCATCTTACTACACTGATGGACAGTGACTGCAATGGGGTTTGGGGGGGACTCGATAATATGGGTGATTGTAGTGACCACATTGTTTTTCATGTGAAACCTTAATAAGAGTGTATATCAATAATACCTTAATAAAAAAAACTCTATAAAACTCATTTTATCAGAAGATAATATCAAGAGAATAAATAGACAATCCACAGACAGTAAGAAAATATTCATAACATCTACACAGGCAGTCCCGGACCTTACAATGTTTTGACTTAGGATTTTTCAACTTTATGATGGTGCAAAAATGGTATGTATTCAGTAGAGATGTACTCAGTACTTGAAATTTTGAATTTTGATCTTTTTCTGGGCTATTAATGTTCATTAGGACACTCTTGTGATGTTGGGTAGCTTCAGCGAGCTGCAGCTCCCAGTCAGCCACACGATGACAAGGTTAAACCACCGATATTTAACGACCATTCTGCACCCATACAGCCATTCTGTTTTTCACTTGCAGTACAGTATTCAGTAAATTTCGAGATATTCAACACTTCATTGTAAAATAGGCTTTGTGTTAGATGATCTTGCCCAATGTAGGCTTATGTAAGTGTCCTGAACATATATATTTAATGTGGGTAGTCTAAGCTATAATGTTCAGGTTACGTGTATTAAATGTGTTTTTGACATAAATTTTTTATGATGGGTTTATCAGGACAGAACCCCATAGTAAGGCGAGAAGGATGTGTATCTAACAACAGGTTTAAATCCAGAATATGTAAAAAATTCATATGTAAACATAATGGATGTTTAAATGGCAAAAGATTTGAACAGACACTTGACAAAATAAGGCATTTCACCAGCCAAGATGCATATGAAATGTGCCCAACAGTAGCAGTCATCAAGGAAATGCAAGATGAGATGCTGCTGCCTGCCCGCTGGAATGGCTAAAGTGAACAAAATGGGCACAACCAAATTTTGGGGAAAATGAACTCTCCTGCATTGCTAGTTGGGTGTAAAATCATACAGCCACTCTGGAAAAACATTGGTAGCAATTCTGTGTAAAATTTATCTGCGAGAAATGAAAGTAAACGTCCACAAAAGTCACCTGTAAGAATGTTCATGATAGCTTTATGGATAACAGCCCCAAACTAGAAAAGCCCATGTGTCCATCAGTAGGGGACTAGATAAACTATTTGTTATATTCATACAGTGGAACACAACAATAAAAGGAACACACTGCAGGTACGTGTAGTGAACGGCATGGGTAAATCTCAATATAAAAAGACATGAAAGAATCAGACACAAAACACTTTATATTGTGTGATAACATTTATATAAAGTTGTAGAATAGCTTAAACTTTGGTAACAAAAGTCAGATCATTAGTTGCTCCTGGGTATGGAGGGAGGGGAAGAGTGTTGCCTGTGAAAAGGGGCACAAGGGGCTCTGGATTGGTGAAAATGTTCTCTCTCCTGATAGGGTACGGATTACATAGGTACAGTGATTTTTCAGAACTGATCAGACTGTAGGCTTGAGATCTGTGCACTTAACTATATGTAAATTGTAACCTCAAATTTAGAAATCTCACCAAAAAAATAACAGTATTTTCTTATATCTTAATTCTAATTTTCTTCCTTACCTTCCATAAAGCATCGGACAACTTAATCCCACTGTACTGAGCCTTTCATTAAATGTCAATTCCTTTTTTTTCCTCCCTGTCCCACCCATTTCAAAGTCCTTTCTGTCCCATGAGCTTGCTTTACAAATATGGAGTCAGGAATTCCAGGTAGGAGGCAATCGCAGTGGTTCATTCATTCATCAGGCATTTGCTGACTTCTTCCGTAGGATGGTGAAAACATGTAGGAGAGGGGAATGATGTTAAGGGGCATTTCAGAATAGGATGTGGGAATCGGGGAGAACTAGGTTTGGAGGTAGAGAAGAGGCTAATCTGGTATAATCTTTGGACTCAAACCAAGAAACGGGCAAATCAGTTGTTCTCAGGAAGGGATTATCTTCATCTTTAAACATTGTAAATATAAAGAGCTGTCTCTACCTGAGAAATTTGTTTCTTGTAAGTTTTGCACCTTTAAAAAATGATTTATATCATAAAAGGCCCAAATGGAGTATATTATACGAATGCTGAATTTATTTTTAAAAATATCGCTTTGTACTCTTTGATTCTAGCTGACACTGATTACACCACTAATGCCATATTGTCTCTTCTTTCTTTTTCTTCCGATCAGTTTGACAAAGGCTACTCCTACAATATCCGTCATAGCTTTGGAAAGGAGGGCAAGAGGACAGACTATACACCTTTCAGTTGCCTGAAGATTATTCTAACTAGTCCACCAAGCCAAGGAGATTATCATGGTAAGTGCTTCCACTGGGTATGTTTGGAAAGTCGAGGAACCCAGCAGCTCAGTAGAAAACATTTAAACTGTGCAATGGCTTTTTGCGTTACTGACAGGATCTAGTTTGTGGCTTATGTCAGTCATCTGGGTCAAGCTAGAGCTCCATTACTCTTGCGATTTGTCTTGTTGCTGAACTGGGTCAGCAAGCGAAATCCCTTCAGCTGCTCCTCAGTTTGTGCTGAAGCAGGGTCTTTAGTTCTCGGTCCCCCCTTCGACCGGCTCTGGTCTTCCTTGTGTTCTGCAAGTGTCTTAGGAGACTGATACAAGCTCTTCAAAGCCTTTTGAAATTCAATACCAAATTTTAAAATAGTTGATTCATTGATTTTTCAAAAGACTACCGAGGAAAAGTTGTTTTTGTTTTATTCTCATTATCATCATCTGATTAACAAAGATTAAGTGAGGGGTTTTACAAGTCATGGTATCAACCATCTGTCAGTTTACCTAAGCTGTAGGTCAAAAAACAAAAAAGGTTAAACTATTTTCTGTAGATTTCTGAGTTCAACAACTTATTTCTAAAATATCTGAGCACACCTTGAGAAGTTCCTCATTTATCTGGTATGTCAGAGAATGATTTAATGGTCCATATGAGTAATTTCTTAGATTACCAAAGCTTACTATAGTATGTGTCAAAACTTTTTTTGTCTTAACATCATAAATAAAATTCTTTTTCAAAAGATCACATATTTTTAGGCTGTTAAAGATGAAATCATTACAAACAGAATTTTAAGAGAGATGCTTCATGTGTCCAGAGCTTTAAAAAAAAATTCCTGTGCATTCATATGTAATTGGTGAAAAGGTGGGCAGTACAGTATTCACGGTGGGTGGTTCTGATCACCCGTGTCAGTCGCATCAGGTGCCTTTGAGAAATGCAGATTCTCAGGCTCCACCCTCAGACTTTTAAAATCAGATTTATGTACAAGCTCCCTGGATGATTTTTATGATTTCTAAACTTTGAAAACCATTGACCGGATACTTCTGTTAAGAAAGTCTACAGCTTTTTTTAGCAGCCGTATGAGGCAGTTAACTTACACTGAGCCTTCAGGCGTTCTTCCGTCAGTTCCCAGGTCCTAGCTTTCCTTGCTTACTCTTGTTGACTTTTTATTAGCTTAAATATAGGACTTTATATTTCTTATTCCTGGTAAGTCATACCTTACTTATTTCAGCCATTCTGTTTGTTTTACTTTGTTTTTAATTTAAGCTCTATCAGTTAAAAAGTAATACACTTAGCAGACACTCAGCTCATATTATTTATTAGACACATCAATCTCTCTTATTTTTTTTTAATGAGCAAGCTCTATTTTTAGGGCAGTTTTAGGTTCCCAGCATAAGTGAGCAGGAAGTAGAGACTTCCCACATGGCCTCTTGCTGCCCACACATCCACAACCTCGCCCACTATTGGCATCCTGTACCAGAAGGTGTGTTGCATGTGAGCCGAGAAGAGTGTGGAATCGGCTGGTGGAGGATGTAGCCCTTTCATGGGTATCAGTTATATCCAGTTGATTGGTGGTGCTGTTGAGTTCAGCTGTGTTATTGCTGATTTTCTGCCTGCTGGATGTGTCCATTTCCAATGGAGGGGTGTTGCAGTATCTAATAATTCCCCTGTTTCTCTTGGCAGTCAGCTTTTGCCTCATGTATATTCATACTGTGTTGTTAGGTGCATACACATTACGGATTGTTACGTCTCCTTGGAGTGTTCACCCCCTTGGTATTCTGTAGTATCCCTAATAGATTTTCTTGCCCTAATGTCGGCTCTGTCCAAAACTAAGATAACCACTCTCACTTTCTGTGATTTGTGTTGCCATGGTGTCTTTACTCCTCCCTCACTTTTCTCCATCCCTGTACTTTTATCTGTTTGTGTCTTTATATTTAAAGCAGCTTTCTTTTTACACAACATGCAATTGGGTCTTACTTTTTGACCCACTCTGACAATCTGTTTCTATTGGTGTAATTGAACCACTGATGCTTAAAGTGATTATCGATATAGTTAGATTAATAGCTACTGTATTTGTTACTACATTTTTTCTATTTGTTGCCCGTATTTTTTGTTTCTGTTTTGTCTCCCACACCTTTTCTGCCTTTTGTGGATTAACTGAGCATTTTATATGATTCCATTTTTCTCCTTTCTTAGCAAATCCGTTAAACTTCTTTGTTACTTTTTTAAGTGGTTCTACTTTTTAAGAGCTTTTATTATACACTCACAGCTAATCCAAGCCCCTTACAAATCACCACATCACGGGTAGTACAAGTACCTTATAAATAAGGAAATATTGCTGAATGATTCTGTCATTCATTTCATTTAGTCATAGGAATACACAAACACACAGAAATACATATGTAAGCACCCACATAGAATACATTGTTTCCACTGTTATTGTGAACTATCATCTGTTAGATCATGTAAGAATAAGACAAATAGAGGTTTTTATATTACTTGTCACCATTCTCTGTTTTTGTTCTTATCTTTAAGGTAGACTTGAGTTTCTGTCCTATGTTATTGCCCCTCTCTTTGAAGAACTTTTAACATTTCCTGCCTTGCAGGTTTACTGGCCACAAATTACCTCAAGTTTTGTTTGTCTGATAAAGTTTTATTTCTTTTTTTTCTTTGGAGGAATAATTTTGCATGGTAAAGAATTCTAGGTTTGTGGGATTTTTTTCCCCCTCTTTCAACACTAAATATTTCACTGCCCTCTCTTTTTGCTTGCATGGTTTCTGATGATAAGTTAGATATAATTGTTATCTTTGCTCCTCTGTAAATATGGTGTTTTTCCCTCTGATTTCTTTGAAGAGTTTTTCTTTATTCTTGATTTCTGAATTATGAATATGATATATCTAGCTTGCTCCATCCATCCATCTCCACCCATCCGTCCATCCAGGTAGGTGCTTTCTAAGGTTCCTGCATCTGTGGTTTGGTGTCTGACATAAATTTGGGGGAAATTCATTGTCATTATTGCTTCAAATATTGCTTTTTTTTCCTTTCTTTCTTCTCCTTCTGGTATTCCCATTATATGATAATTACACCTTTGATAGTTGTCTCACAGTTTTTGGATTTCTGTTTTTGTTTTTTTTTTCAGCCCTTTTTCTCTTTGTTTTTCAGTTTTGGAAGTTCCTGTTGACATCTCCTTTTGACTCAGAGGTTTCTTTAGCTTTGTCTGCTAATAAGCTCATCAAGGGCATTCTTCACTACTGTTAGTGTTTTTATCTCTGCAATTATTTTTGATTCTTTCTCAGAATTTCCAACTCTCCACTTATATTACCCATCTGTTCTTGCATGTTGTCTGCTTTTTCCATTAGAGCCCTTAACACGTTAATCATAGTTGTTTGAAATTCCCAGCCTGATAATTCTAACACTCCTGCCATATCTGGCTCGAGTTCTGGTGCTTGTTCAGTTTTCTTCAAACTGTGTATTTTGCCTTTTCATATACCTGTACTTTTTTGTTAAAAGGTAGATGTGATACATGGGTGAAAAGGACACCAGTAAATGGGCCTTTGGTAATGCGCTGAATGTGAGCAGGGGGCTCCTGTGATCTTGTAGGTCTCAGTCTTCCGTGAGCCTGTGGCCCTGGGCTGTGAACCTCAGTGGGATCCTCAGTTTCTTCCTTGTCTTTAGGGGGGGCAGGATGGCTGCAGGAGGCTGGAGCTGGGTATTTCCCTTCCCTCTAGGTAGGACCCCAGCACTTGAGGCTCTGGTTGGATGGTCTGTCCCGGGGGCAAGCCTTGTTAAGAAGAACATATTGCTCTGGAGTATTCACAGAGTGGTTACTTTTCCCCTCCCTGAAGCATGGGGGGTTTGCTCTGTTACTCACTGTGAGCACCCAGTGGGGCTCCTGGAGGTTCAGCTTACAGTGAGGGGCCCCACCGTGACTGGGTCCCTTTAGGGTTTTCAACTTCCAGACTTGTCCACACTGAGCCTCAAGGAATTTGTCAACTGCAGGTTAGGTTTTCCTACCCCAGCACTGGTTCCTACAGGAATTTCTGCGTAGTATATTCTTACTCTTTGTATCTGCCTCTCTCTCCAATTTTGGGTGGGGGCATTGCTCTGTGACCTTATTTCTCTGAAAGATTTAAAAACTGTTGATTTTTCAGTTTGTTCAGCTTTTTACATGTTAGGATGGAGTAGCAACTTCTAAGCTCCTTAAGTGCCAGACTGGAAGCCTGTGCTTTTTAGTTTTGTGTTAACTTGCAAAACTATTTAGTCCCCTAGATTGACATCATTTCATGAACCAGCATTGCCTGGAATGGTTGTTCACCAGTTATGAGTCTGTGTAGATATGACTATATTCTAGACTGTGTTTATCCATCTCTTCCACAAATGTATGTTGGGAATCTCTTTTGAACACTTCACTGCATAGGTATTCACTTGATAGTTACTTCGTTAGCCTCTCTTTGCTGTGGGACATAGAAGCAAAGCAGGAGCTGCTGAGTTCTGTTTTCTTTCTGTTATCTGTTAAAATAACAGCAGCTTCTCTTAGCACTAGTCTGTTTCTTCTTTTTTCTTCTAACTGTGAAGGTAGCTTTAAAAGGCTTTTTTTGCTCCTGGGTACTTTGGTACTCTCCAGCTTTGCCCTGTCTGACCTTTGTCATTCAGGTATAGCCATTAATTCAAATGTAATTTGGATAATTCAAGTAACTGGTCTCTTTTTCTAGCTCCTTTAGTAATTGGTCTTAATTCTTGGCTTACCAAGAATTCCCTGCGCAGCCTCATTTCTTTCTCATTGGGATCCTTTGCAATTTCATTATCAGATGTTTTTGAGAATAATAATAATAGCTAACAATGTTGAGTGCTTATTACTGTGTGCCAGGAGCATGTACGAGCTTCATACTACATCTCACAAGAGCTCTGTGAGTGATTATTTCCCACACTTGACAGAAAGTGAAGCTGAGACAAGAAATTTGCTAACGGTCTTCCAAGTTGTCAGTGGTAAACTGAGATTCAAACCTAGGTAGTATAGCTCCAAACTCTTAACCGTGTGCTATATATGTATTTTTTTTCAATATATTTCCTTGTAGTTAAAAATTATTACAGTTTTGACCTGAATAAAGTATATACTAAGATTTCATAATTTGTAAGAGTACATAATATTATCATGGTTATTTTTATTAAGATTTTTGTAAACACATTGGTTTGTCATCTAGGCTCTTTGACATTATTTTTGTTCCAACATACATTTTATTGACTTCATTCAAATGTACATTTGTTTCTTACTAACTGACAGATCTGTCATCTTTATGACTGAAAAAGTAATCTGGCTTCCTGTATTAAATTTGAAAATAAGTATTTTGACTTGTCGTTGTAGTTAACTATTAAAATATCTAAATTCTAGATTTCAATTCTTTACATTTCAATTCTTTGTTCTCATTTATGCAAAGATTTGTAATAGTCCATCTTAATTTTCTCATGAAATAATATGGAGATGACATGTATCTACTGTTAAGTTGTTTTTCTACAAAACAGTTTCCTGTTTGTCTATCTTACTCCCATCTATGATTCTTCTAAATTTATGTGGATTCTGCTCTATGGGAAATAGTCATAAAGTTTACATCTGAAAATGGTGTGTTTTTATATTTCTTAGAGTTTTCACATTTTTCTTTTTGTTTACGTCATCTTTCTTCTCTCATGTGCCTTTAATGTACATTTTTTAACTAGAAAAAATATACATTTTTAACTATAAAAAATGTGAGATTGTTTAAAGTTTTTAGGTAAACTATTTTATAGCTTGTGATTGTTAGCTCTGCTTGTTAGCAAGTGGCATGATTAAAACTCTTTCCCCTTCTCAGGGAACGGCAGCTGAGCCTGAGAGTGCCGTGACGTTTTATATCACTCTTGAGCCTGTTGTGCCCTGATGACTGTACAGTAAGTCGTCGTTTAGATAAAGAGAGGAAAGCAGTTGCACCCATGGGCAATTAACTTTTTTATTAATAAGCTGTTAGACAGTTAAAGGGAGCTTAGACAGTCTCCCAAGTGTGGTATTGTACTCAGTCCTGGTAAATAACCTTGTGGTTATTTCATATAACCTGGCTTGTTGTTTTGTTGTCAGGGTGCCCATTCCGCCACAGTGATCCAGAGCTGCTGAAGCAGAAGTTGCAGTCATACAGGGTCTCTTCAGAAAGCATAAGCCAGGTAGGTCAGATTCTGCTGTGCAACCTCAGTAATGTTCATTCAGCATTCCTCTCTGTTCATTCAGCATTCTTGCAGCAGTGCTGTGTACCACTTGTCAGGCCTCCACCAGCTGTCCTTTCTTCCAGGTGAATTAAGCTAAAGCCTTGACTTTTTTGGTTTAGATGCCTTGGAAATTCTAGCTCTTCTGTCTGCTAGGCTGCATTTTTATTTTTCTTGGTAATGAAGGGAACTTGGAAACCTTTTTTCTCTCATTTTGTTTTACTATCTCAATTGAAGACATTTAAGAAAATGAATTTTTAGAGGAATGCATTGAAGCTTATTAATGAAGCTGAAAATTAATGACATATTTCATTTTGTGAAATTGTTTTCTATGCTGCATATAGATTAAAGCAGAAGATAATGTAGTGTATGCTGGCTAAATGTTCTGATAGGCATCAATTGTTGCTGCTACAAATACACTTGTAATAATATTTCATCAGATCAAATAGTTTGTCAAAATACCTTTTGTCTTGTAAACAGTTTAGATAAAGAAATTCCCAAATGTGAACCTGAATATTTAAGACTCTATCTTTTAAATATGCTTTAAAAAATAATGTGACATTGCAAAGACTACTGTCTATAGTGTGCTTTTGAGTTGACTTGGATTTTGAAGGAGATTAAGAGGATCTTCTTCCTTAGCTTAAGAAGAACAATGTATTTTTTTGAGCTGGAACATCTAAATTATTATGTAGCCTTTATCATTTTTTCTTGAAGAAAATGGTTACTCTAGAAAAACTCTTTTGCTTCTACTGTGTCCAAAGTTCAGTTCAAATGTGACAGTTTTCAATACTCTGGGTAGGACATTGGCTCGCGGTGCTATTTGGGGATGCAAAGAAGAATCCGATATAAATCCTGCTTCTATATAGAACCAGAGTGTGGAGGGAAACATAAACTAAATGTCACGAGATACATGCACATAGTGTCGTGGCTCTTCTGAAGGGGGAGAACCATATAGATGAGGAGGCCAAGGAACACTTTCTGGAAGACATGCTGTTTGAATTAGGCCTTGAGTGGGGAACTGGGAGTTAGGAAGACAGAGTGCATGAATAAAAAGGAGCAAGTGTATAAGATTATTAGAATTTCAAGCTTAAGATAATGGTGGCATTAGTGCACAAACACTAAGAGACAGCTTAAAAGAAGCAGTTGGTTTGTATTCATCTTTCCCATTAGTTTGAGACTTTCCTGAAAGGAAGACTGTATTTTTATTTAACTTTCTGTCTAATAGTAATTAAGTGAGTTGCACTTCGTGGGTGCTGAAAAATGTTGTAAAAGTAAGTGGGCATATTGACGTTATGAGGTGGACGCTAAAGTGTGCTCGGTGGGGAACAGAAAGAGGCAAATGGGAACCCAGTGACACAAGTGAAGACCTTATCTGAAGAAAAAACTTAAGAGGTTGAGCACAGGGAAGCTGATGAAGTACAGTCGTGGCCTCTTCCTTGTAAAGTAGGGGGTCTGATCATTAGGTTAAAGAGGTTAAGAATGGTGTTTTGGATGTAGGAAAGGTTAAGAACTATTGATAAATTATTTGATAGGGAATCCAGAAGAAGAGAACTAAAGGCTTTTTCAGCAATTGTGAAGGATCATTTTTTTAAAATTACAGGCTGTTCCCACATCTTTTGAGAAGGTTGATGTTTTCTTTAGCAGCCGTGACTGTGTCTGGATGCTCTTTGCCTCTGACTCATTGCACTCCTCCAGTCACCCTCAGTCCGAAAGTAGATCCTTTTCATTGCAGCTGGTTAGTAATTTCCATGTGATCCTTTGGACCTTTCATCTGAAATGAGCACAAGTGTATAGTGCATGTGGGTAAGCTGTAAATAATATTTTGCTTCCATTTTATGTCTTTGTTGAGTGGATCTCAGTAGAGTGAAGCAACTGGGGGACTGTGTTTTTAAGGGCAGAAAATCCATGTAAACCATTTTGGTAAATACTTAGTTATAGACTGGCATAAATGCAAATTAGATCTTAAAAACTTAACAGGTATACATCAAATATTGAAAGAAAGTCAAGAAAAACATTAAAATGCGTGCAAGGAGAAACCCAATGTAGTTACTTTCAGAGAAAAACTATTTGAAAAAGGTACCTTCAACTATAAAAAAAACTTAGATGTTAATCAGAAGAGAGATAAATTTGACCTAACCAGCATCACCTGCCTTTTTAAAAAGCATATTTAAAGGAGCACATTTCATCTTCCTTTTTCAGTAAGCTTAGTGTGTAGTTTAAGACGGCGGTTGAATAGCAAACTAAAGCCAAGGGGAACGGGCAGTTGTGCATTTCTTCCTCAGCCCTCCCTGAGAGAAACACATGGAGGTCAGTTCACCAACAAGACAACAAACTTCTAAATGTCTGTATCCCAACAACACAGCTTAAAAATACATGAAGTAAAAACATGGAGAAAGAAAAAGAGAACTAGACAAATCCCCAACTGTATTTAGAAACTTTGACACTCTTCTTTCAGTAATTAATACAAGTAGGAAATCAGTAAGGATACAGAAGACGTGAACAACCCTCAACCATCGCGACCTAACTGGCATCTGTAGAACATACCACCCAATAGCAGGTGAATACATCATTTTTTCATGTGTAGATGAAAAATGAACCAAGATAGATCATATTCTGGATGTTAATCCATTACAAATTTAAATGAATTAAAATCATACAGTGTTACATTTTTTTACTATAACCAGTACGAAAAGGCAAGAAAAAAGAAACAAAAGTCTGATTAGAGGGAAAACATTCCTCTATTCTCAATGTGATTATCTATGAAAAAAATATCAAAGAACCTATCAAATGTTATCATAACTAATGATTGCTTTATATTAATCAGTATACAATAATCGATTACATTTCTTCCAATGAACAACTGCCAATTTCAAAAAAATTTTCAAAGTTGCATCTATAATAGTACCAAACAACATAAATGGTTTTTGATGTAATTAGCAAAATATGTGCAAGATATTTATGATGATACACAGATGAAAACTGTAGTTTGATACGTTGCTGGAGGAAATCCAAGTGGTAAGAGCCATTGGCAGTTTGGCAGTTTCTTGTAAACTTACACAAACTGTGTAAACCTTGTTATTAACCACTACCAGGTATTTATGCCATTGAAATAAAAACATAAGTCCTCTCAAAATGTTTATACATGTTTATAATAGCTGGTACATGCAAAAACATGTATATATTCATGTCTATAGTAGCTTTATTCTAATTTTCAAAAACTGGAAAAAACTAATGTCCATCAGTGTGTGGTTGTATAAACAAACCATGCTGTAGTCATGCCGTGGGATGTTACTCGGCAGCAAAGAAGGAATAAACTGCTGACATACTCAGCAGCATGCATCATGCTAAGTGAAAGAAGCCCTACTGTATGATTCCTTTCATATGACATTCTGGAAAAGACAAATCTGTAAGTACAGAAAACCGATTGCTGGGAGCCAGGGAGGTATTAGTTACAAAGGGATGGGAAATATTTTTGGGTTGACGGACATGTTCTGTCTTGATTGTGGTGGTGCTGCCATGACTGAGTTTGTCAAATTTTGCAGAACTATGCACTATAAGGTGTATTTTACTGCATGCAAATTATACCTCAATTTTTTTAATGGGGAAAAACATAAGAGGGTAAGTAGGAATTAGCATAAATGAGCCAAATACTCATTTGCAGGGATTCAGTAGATTAATAAATAAAGAACTCAGAATATCAGCATGTAATTTAGAATTATGTAGGCAACATCTTATATATGGCCCAGTATTGAAATGATTAAAAGTAATCCTCTTGGGAGCAGCTCAGGCAGGGAAGAAACATGATGTGGGAGCTGTTGATATTAATAATGTTATACTGTATACTTGAAAAAATTATTTTCACTTCCACATGCATTCCTCGATTGAAGTTTGAAAATAACAGTTTCATGTTATATGTGAAGTTATGTGGTCATGTGCATAATGGATAGATGGTAGCAGCGGTGGTAGCAGATGACTATGGGATCTTAGGGTGTGAGATTTTTAGCCTTTATCCTTTGGCCTCCCAGCACTACCACAGTATCTGGTCCATGTTAAGAACTGTGGAGGGTCTGAGACTTTGCCTTACATGCAAGCTAAGAACGTAGCTGCCACAATTTCACAAATGGTGGGAGAAGACACAAAGATTGTAACAATAGCTGCATATCAACCTTTTCCTGCACCTGTTCCCTGAGCCCCAATTCTTACAGACAGACATGGAGAAGGCCAAGTACCATCATGTGCAGTGGGCTGTGCTGGAGGAAAGAAACTCCGAGTGTAGGGAATCTTAAAATGGACAGTAAGCATGTCTGTACTTTCATTTATGGAAGGTACTATATGTGTTCCAAGGCCGTTGGTTATAGACATCCTTGAAAAAGTGGTTTGAAACAAAGGTCATTATTTTCTCTTGTTGCAAAATGTTCAGAAACCTGGAATCCTCTGGAAAATTCTCTCTCAACAGTACATAGCATGAGAACAAAGTGATAAATAATATATGTCTGTAAGGTATATTGGCATCTTTCCTTTTTCTCCTTAAGATAGTGGTATGTATTTTAAGCTCAGTTTACTTCTTTTAACATTTTCCAGCGAAGTAATAAATCCTCTCAATGCTTTGTTAGTTTATCCAGTTAACCATGTCTCTCAGTAGTTCCTGTCTGGTTTATATACCTTGGTTCTTGGTTTTTAGGTTTCATTTTGCTTTAAAAAATCTGCAGTTTATGATAGTATAATACCTTGAGAAATAGAAATTTTAAGAATGTGCCTTCAAAATATTGAGAATAAAAATCTCTGATCTTAAATACTTTATTTCTTTGAAGAGATTTTTTTTTCCCAACTGTGAAAAGCTACAGATGAAATTTTCACACTGCAGTTTTTTTTTTCACTGATGCCCGTAATAGTGTGCTGTATCCTTTCTTAGGAAGAAAGTTGTCTTTCCAATACTAAACCACATAGGGCATATCTGTAAT